ATTATTTTTATTTTATGTGTATGCGTGTATTGCCTGCATGTAGGTATGTGCACCTGTGTCGTGCAATGCCCATGGAGGACAGAAGAGGCTGTCGGCTCCCCTGGAACTGGAGTTAGGGACAGTTAACTGCCATGTGGGTGCTGGGATTCGAACCCTGGTCTTCTGCAAGAACAGTGTTCTTAACTGCTGAGCCATCTTTCCAGCCGCAGACTCCATAGTTTTAAATGAATATTTGAATTATTAATTTGTGTAACATTATTTTCTTTTCATGTTGGGGAAGTGGATTCTTTTCTTCCTAGGTGGCAAATGGAGTTAGGGACAGTTAACTGCCATGTGGGTGCTGGGATTCGAACCCTGGTCTTCTGCAAGAACAGTGTTCTTAACTGCTGAGCCATCTTTCCAGCCGCAGACTCCATAGTTTTAAATGAATATTTGAATTATTAATTTGTGTAACATTATTTTCTTTTCATGTTGGGGAAGTGGATTCTTTTCTTCCTAGGTGGCAAAGGAAAATATGAGGACCACATCTGCTAAATACTGATAATTTTAACATGATCCACCTAGAAATTATTAACTAAACACTTGGTAGCTTCATTATCCTTTTTACAATTGAACAAATTTTATTTATTCCCCATTGTCAATAAAAACTCTTTTCCCTCTTGGACAGCATTAAGGATTAAATAAACATTATGAAATAGGAAAATGTTAATCTTGAATCATGGCTCCCTCTGGTGGGGCTAAAGCATATTGCTCAATCTAAGATAAAGTTTTTTTTTGCAAATAATTGGGGAGCCCAGCAAAACCGGAAGCCAAATCAACAGGGGCACTTTATATGGATCCGCTTCCCAACCCCACCCCCCACCCCATGCAAAACTCCACCACTGATTTAGGGAGGGGCCGGGATCTGTATATTTAACAAATGCACAGCTGATTACCATGCAGCCTGCAAGCTGGCCTTTGAAAACCAGTGCTTTATGATGGTACCACTTTCAATTTGTAAGATCACCTACAAATTAAAAGGAAAATAGTTTTACTCCCAAATGTGACAAAAAGTTTACTTTCATAATTTTCTCAAAATATAGTTAAATTCCAGGACTTAGGTTGACTTAAACTACATTCTTTCAATGCCCTCCTTAGCACAGTGCCTGCCATGTGATAGCACCTAAGAACTGTTGCCTAAATGATTGTTTATACGTTAGCTTTCTGTGTGCTACCTAGAGTGTAGGACCACATACTTGGAAAAGTTGTTTTAAAATTTTAGAGGAAATGATCATGGGGCTAGAAAGATGGCTCCCTGATTAAGAGTGCTTGCTGCTCTTACAGAGGACCTGAGTTGTGTTCCCAACACATAGAGCACCACACAATAGCTGTAACTCCAGCTTGAGAGGATCCGATGCCTTCTTCTGGTTCTGAGGGCACCTGAACTCACATGCACAAATCCATACAGACACACACATACAGACACACAGACACATTCACACACATACAACTGAAAATAAAATATTTTTTTAAAAAAGAAATGATCTTGGAAAGATATGACTTGTGGTGCTTAGCATCTGTGAGCATTTCAATTCACCTTATACATTGTTATTATCACCACAATTTTCTAATGTCAAAGTTTAACTTTTTTTTAACCCCTAAAGGACTTATTATTTTTTCTAAGCTCTTTAGCAAATAATTGGGCTTAGGAATGCTTTTTCTCTTTGTTTTGTGGGTTTTTGTATTTTTTGTGGGTTTTTTTTTTTTTGTTTGTTTGTTTGTTTTATGGGACAGGGTCTCCCTGTAGCACCAGCTACCCTGGAACTCACTATGTAGACCAAGCTAATGTCAATCTCACAGAGACTCACCTGTCTCTGTCTCCTGAGTGCTGGGATTAAAGCCATGCACTACCATGCCTTGCTGTCTCTTTGAAGCAGTTTCTTTGAGCTATAATATGTGTACCATAAAGCACATGTTCTTAAGGTATGCATACCAGTTACATTCTATTCACAGAGTTGTGTAACTATTGCCATAGTGGGTTTATGTTCTCTCAACATGAAATGATGGAGCTGGTGCTTTTTCTGTTAGGTTTCAGATGCAAGTGGGTCCATGAGCGTGACTCTGGTGGCTGAAGAAAACCCCTTCTCCATGGCAATGCTGCTGTCTGAAGAATGCTTCATTTTGGACCATGGTGCTGCAAAACAAATTTTCGTATGGAAAGGTAAGGGATACCATTGACATAATTGCTTATTTCAGATTTATGGACCCTTCCCTGGGAAGAAAAGGAAGCATCCTTTTTTATTCTAAAAAAGACCATACCTTTGAGATAGGGTCTGTAAATATCCCATCTAGGATGCAGCTAATATTCTTCCTCCAGCCCCATTCAGCAGGGATTATGGAGTTAAGAAAAGCATTTGGGTAGTATAAATATATAGACTGTTAAATATTGCTCATGACTGTGTTATTAAATATATTTAGCATTTTTTGTTGTGCAAGTATTTCTTAATCATACAGTATATTCCCATCCAAGTACTAAGCAGGCCCGACCCTGCTTAGCTTTCATGATCAGATGAGATTGGGCATGTTCAGGGTCTTATGGCCATAGACCGTATAGTTTATTCCCTCTCTGTAATCTTATAACTCTTTAATTTACCTTTGATTTTAGGTAAAGATGCTAATCCACAGGAGAGGAAGACAGCAATGAAGACAGCTGAGCAGTTTCTACATCAAATGAATTATTCCACCAATACCCAAGTGCGTGTGGAAGTGAATTCACTAGAAAAAATTTAAAATAGAGGGGCTATGAAATCTCCACAAGACTCATGAGAGCACAAAACTCATGAGAAATTCACTTCAAAGTAATGAATGTGTGTGTGTGTATGTGGAGTCATTCTCTACTTGCACATGTGTCATCCTGTGTCTCATGTTGTTAGTACTTTGTGTCGGGACAGTTTTGCAGAAACTGGAGATCAGACCTAGAAAGCTTGCCTACACAAAGCTCTGGGCTCCATAGGTAGTACTGCATAAAACCAAGTGTGTGGAGGTACACACCTGTAATCCAGCACAGAGGCAGGACCATCAGGAGTTCAGGGTCATTCTTAGGTATGTAGGGATCTTTGAGGCCAACCTTGGCTACACGAGATCCAGTCTCAAAAAAATTTTTTTTCGATAACCCCCATAGCTTTTAATTAAATGTAATTAATTGTTTTATTTAGCTAAAAGCACTTATCGTGGATTTCTTAGACTCTGGGTAGTACCCAGATATTTGGTCCCCTGCAGTTCAACTTAGACACTGGCTAGTTAGCACTCTTCCTTTACGAATCTCTTGCCTTCATTTACTCCCTTCATTTTTATGTCCTGGCACAGACAGCATGGTGGGGTAATTTCTTCCAGGTCACAGATCTCTCATGAACCTACGTAGACAAACTTTTTTCACTGTAGTGGTAACATGTCAAAATTTCTTCGTATCTCTATTATTCAAATTTGGTGGCGATGACTTCAGTTTTGAGAAGAAGCAGAACTGGACTATTTTAGTTGCACACTTCTAAATTTACAAGTGTAATGATAGAAATAAGGATAGTACTTTAATTTACTTTCATTATTTAATTATTTTTCCTGTTGAAGATGTTTTCCTCTATCTCTTATTTTCCCATTTACTATTATTTTAAATTTCAGATTCAGGTACTTCCAGAAGGGGGTGAAACACCAATCTTCAAACAGTTCTTTAAGGACTGGAAAGATAAAGATCAGAGTGATGGCTTTGGCAAAGTGTATGTCACAGAGAAAGTGGCTCGAATAGAGCAGATTCCATTTGATGCCTCAAAGTTGCACAGTTCTCCCCAGATGGCAGCCCAGCACAACATGGTGGATGATGGCTCTGGCACAGTGGAGGTATTTCTATATCTGTTTCTGTTTTGATTTTATCAAGCCCATTTATGTCAGTATGTGTGGGAATATAACTTTGGCAAACTCAGAAGCTTTTAAATGGTGAATTTTACTTATGAAGCTGGCTGAGACTGTATACTAATGTGTGCGAGTTGCAGCTGGAAAGCTGCTGCCTCGTCTTTGGGACCATTTTATATGAGTGTGTTGACATCCCTAGAAGGTGGTGGCTGCTGAAATCCGTTGGCTCTGTTTAAGTGGTGAGACTGTGTTGCTGACCTCTCTGCTCACCAGTAGGTGTGGCATAGGAAGGCTTCTTTCCAGTAGCCCTGTGTTGTTCCTCCTCCCTGCTCACTCTGTATTTCAAGGCAAGTGCTGTCCTGTTCCTTCTGGGCACCTAGGTGGGAGGATGTGGGTCCCAAGCAGGTTCACAGACAGTGCCTGCTGACCTCTTGCTCACTGATCACTCTTCTCCTTCATCTACAACTCCTACCTCTCCAACCTGGAGTTCCTTTAAGTTGAGGAGGTAGAATAAAAATAGCTTTACCTGTTTTTATGCCCTGTCACAGCTTTTCAATTTTATGTCTAGATCATATCTTTTGAAAACAAAATCATGCTATTGACATCTGTTGGTTACTATTATAATAGAAATAACTACAGACTGAGGCCTTCGAATAAACATGTAATTCCCACAGTTCTGGATGCTGGGAAGAGCAAAATTAAAGTTTAGATTGAATGATTCAATGCTTGGTCAGGGTCCTCTTCCTGGTTCACAGACAGCTATCTTTGTGTTGTCCTTACACAGCAGAGAAAAAACTAGAGGGCTGTCTTGGACTGGGGGAGAAGGGTATCTCCTTTTATAAGACCATTGATCCTATTCATTACGGATTGCTATATGGTTTTTTCTAGGGAGATGTGAATAAATACCTACTTACCCTGGATAGGGCATAGATAATAGACCAAAGAAATGATTCTACCCAAGGCTAGCTTGGTGAATCAGTGAGTTTATGTGAGTTACTTACAGAAGCATCGGTGACTGAAAGGCAGCTGGCTCACCAAAAACCCCACTGCAGTGTGGGTACTGACTCTTGAAGGCTGCCTCCCTGGAGCTCCCTGCACAGCTCCAAGGATCTGCGCCCAGGAGTTTCCTCTCCCTCAGCAATTATTTACTACTTAATATAATCTCTGGGAGGGGCCTCCTGAGTCTCCTAAGTTCTGTGAACTTCCTGAGTCTTGTGACCCCCCCTTTCTCCTTCTGGCAGGGAATGTTCTAGTTGGCAGGAAACAGCTACACCACAAAGATCCGTCCTTATGATCTAATTACTGCTCACAGGCCACACCACCTAACACAGTCAGATTGGGGGTAAGTTTCAACACAAATCCTTCAGGGGCCAAAAACATTCAATCCATCGAAACAATTTTATTATTTGCTCGCACTCTACCAGTTCTCATTTTGGAAAATAACAGCCTCATGCCTTAAAGCACAGGGAAGAAGAAAAAAAGTATTTTACAAATGAAAAACTTTTAGCTATAAAAAAGGAATATTTCTGAGCTGAACACTGTACTTTGCTATTCCACCAGTGCAGTGCTAGTTTCATTAGTTCATCAAGGATGTGTATATGTTGATCAACAGTCTCAGAAATACTGGTCATGGTGGTAAAAACCCACAATCATGGCACTTAGTAGGCTAAGGCAGGAGGATCATGAGTTCAAGGTCAGCCTAGGCTATATAGGCAGATCCTGCCTCTAGCAAGCTAGCAAACAAAGCTACCACCAGCAACAAAAACAATAACAAGAACAACAAAATGAAAAACAAACAAAACTACCACCAACAAAGCAGTCTCAGAACTGACCAAACAATGTGGAGGATGCAAAAGAAATAGAAGCACATAAAAGTCAAGAAATGGCCAAGTCAGTCGACTTTACTTTGATTTATAAACTGTTAGAAAATAAAACTTGTTTGATAATAAGGTAAAGCTTATGTGTAGTATTTTTAGATGAATGCATTTTGGTATTGTATGGCTATTCCATCTCCTTCAGATTTGGCGTGTAGAGAACAGTGGAAGGGTCCAGATTGACCCAAACTCCTATGGTGAGTTCTACGGCGGTGACTGCTACATCATCCTCTACACTTACCCCAGAGGACAGATTATCTACACATGGTAGGTTTGTCTCTTTCCAGGGCTCAAGTTCCACAAGGGCCAAGTTATGCCACAAATGACTATATTCAAGGAGCAGGGGGTAGAATCATCCTGTGAGTACCCCAGTGAGAGCTGAACAGCATGCTGATAATACTCAGATTATATGTGCTATGTGGATAACAGGCAGTGATAATTTAGAGGTAGACAGACATGATTACTCAACTAAGTCATAAATAGAGCTCAATTTTTTTCAAATGGAGGTAAAAATGTCCGCTGTATATAGTTCTAGAAAATAAATATGGCAATTCAGGGTTAGTACCTATAAGCCAGTAGTTTTGATCTCTCTTGTTTCTTCCCTATCTTTCACAATATTGAAAGTCTCCTTTTGAAGTGACTTCATGAGGTCTTGAATACAAGCTAGTGTAATTTACTTTCATCCCTCTAGGCAAGGAGCAAATGCCACCAGAGATGAGCTGACCACGTCCGCATTCCTGACTGTTCAGTTGGATCGGTCTCTTGGAGGACAGGCTGTACAGGTTGGTAGACTTTTACCCCCACACTCATACAAGTCCAAATTTTGCTAGCTTGATTTCTAATTAAAGTTCACTTCCCACCTTGGGGAGAGATTTTGACTCTTATATATTTTCTTTTTATTTTGAAATTTAAATATGACTGCTCATGTCATACTAGCTCTCTCAGATTCTGGAGGAGAAAAAGCAAAGAAAAGCAAAACAATAGCAACAACCACCTTTAGGATCCATCGAATGTCAATGATAGTCATTTCACATCTCCAGCTGTGGTCAAACAGTTGTGGTTAAGTACATGTGAATTTGTTATGTTACAAAGCAAAGGAGAATTAATGTTGAAGATGGAATCATGTTTGCACAACACTTGGCCTTAAATTTAGGGAGATGATCTGGGATTACTGGGTGATGCAGTGAATGCATTCACCAGGGTCCTTAAGAGTGATCCAGGCAGGAAGAGTGAGAGAGATGCAGTGTAAGGAAGACTCCATTGACAATTGGACAGCTGCTGACTTTTGAGGAGGAGCAGATCCTTAGCAGAAAAAAAAAAAAAAAAAAAAAAAAAAAAATACAGGCAACCTGTAGGAACTTGAACAGGCAAGGAACAGAAAATACCGTAGAGGTCCTAGACATAAATACAGCCCAGCCTGTCTCTAGCCTAGTAACTAACCTCTTATTGTAGATTTTAGCCTAGAGACTAAATTAAGGTAACAGGTCACTTCAGTCTTCTGACCCTCAGAGGTATAAGATGCCAAATCTCTACATGATAATTTGCTGCAGCTGCAACAGGAAATAAACAGCATATAGCAAGTACGGATGAATAATTTTAAGTTAATAGTTGTCCACGCAAAAGCATAACTCTCACATCAAAGGGGATAAGAGACAATTTATTCTGGAGCCAAATACGAGTGACCATGGCCTGGGAACATAGATTTAGGTTACTCCAAATTCCATGTTCCAGCGTGGTAACAGTTGCGTTTTTATAGAAACAAAACAAAGAAAAGTCATAAATCAAGACACTTTTCAAATACATTGGTGGATACATTCAGCAGGCAGGTCATGGCAAAGCAGGAGGTGTCCAGGGTTTCTACTATAGGTCTCAGATGCTATCTGATGACATTCTTAAGCTTTTTGATTAGTGGGACCTGGTGGTCTGCCAAGTTAATATATTTTATTAGTCACAAAAATATTAATTCAGGGCTGGGTGTGATGGCGCATGCCTTTAATCCCAGCACTTGGGGAGGCAGAGGCAGTCAGATCTCTGTGAGTTCAAGGCCAGCCTAGTCTATGTAGTGAATTCCAGGTCAGCTGAGGCTACAAGGAGACCCTGTCTCCAAAAAAAAAAAAAAAAAAAACCAATAAGAATGTAAATTCAGAAACAGAGGTAGGCAAGGTGTGGCTATTTATGGGGTTAAAGATGTCCCCAGATGGTTTGTGAACAGGCACTGGATCTGCAACACTCCAGACGCTCTACAATATGCAGAGTGCTCATCAGTTGGTTAGCCTTTCAGAAAATTCAGTCCAAGATGCAGGACTTCTTTCTGGGAACTTTCTTTCACATAGGTAAAAAAGTAGAACAATATTTTATATATTCTCATAGAAGCCCATAAGTTATGCTTCCTACTAGCAAACTGAAATCAACCTTGAAAGATGCATCGATCCTTATTTTTCCACCTATGAACCAGAATCTTGATTGAAACAAAGCCTAACACCCCAAGATGAGAGAAGTAGCAGTGAGGGGAAGAGAAGGGCAAAAGTGAGAGAGAGAGGGGAGGACAACAGGAAAGTTAAAGGACAGAAGGGACTGAAAGGGATGGGGGGAGCTGAAGAGAAGCGCTAAAGGGAGGGAGAGGTTTGAATCGGGGAGGAGAGAAATGGAGTCTATTTGGTTCTTCTGAATATGAACACATAACTTGTTGAGAATGACTGAACTCTGATTCAAAATGACAATTACAGTGGCATGTGGTGGCACATGCCTTTGATCCCTTCACTCCAGAGGCAGAGGCAGAGGCACCCTTATGAAATCAAGGCCAGCTTGGTCTACACAGGAAGTTCTAGGCCAGCTGAGGCTGCAAAGAAACCATCCCAAGAAAACAAAAGCAAAACCCCAAAACAACAAAGTGACAATCACATACACACATGAACCAGCTTCCTTGTGTGTGAGAGGGAGCAGGGAGATAATGTCTGACACATTTTGACATTTTTTTTAATTTTATTGAATTTTTGTGCATTTTTATACAATACATCTTGATCATATTTAGACCCTGTTCTAGTTTGCTGGCACTTTCTCAAGCTCCTCGGCCCTACATCTAGCTCCAGATCGCTCTCTCTGTCCATTTCTTCTCTATAGCTGGAGCTGCTTATCCTGATACCCAATTGTATCCTTGGGCCTGTTTGAGGGAAGGTGTCTCCTCCTGTGTGCTGGGAAAAGTATCTTCTAGACTGGGTTCCATTGGCATGTTTATGATGGTTCTGATTTAGCACCATGAACCATTCACAAGGGTACATCTGCTTAGCTGCCTCAAGCTTGATGCTAAGTGAGCTTAGATTCTATGAGGCATAAAAGATGTGCTGTTTTCAAACCTTTATAAATGCGTAATTTATTTTTCAAATATAATAAGTAGAGAGGTAAGTCAGATATTTTAGAACATGAAATTGGAGATGTGGAGGCTGGATTTGGTCTTCCAGCTGCTTCGTTTCCATCTTGGGATGAAGTAATAGAGGAATAAAGCAAGTAGGCCCTTTGTAAAGAAGCAGTTACCCACTTTTATAAATAGGCCTGCTGGTTGTTAATTAACGAGATGATTGGATTCTTTAGATGCACTCAACTCTATTTCCTAATTAAGTATTCCATTCATTTGAATATAATATTTTTAGCTAAGAACAGAAACCACCTACACTATTTAGTTGATCTTAAGCTGTTCCCCATCAAACAATTCAAAACCTTTGAAAGTTATACATTGTGCCTCACAAGTTCTATAGTTTACAGTATAGTAGATGATATACCCAGTTAATGAATTTTCAGGAACTAACCAGTTGAATCCTGAATTGACAATGAAATGCTATTTGTAGTTGTATCACTAGATGGCAGTAGTTCACAATAATTCTTCAAAAAATGATGTCCTACATTACTGCTGTAAACACGTTTGTGGTGTACTACCTTGACAGTATTTAAACTATTTAATCTGCCTCTCTAATCTCCTTTAGAGTTAAGCATGGGCCTTGTTCAGTGTCCCTCCCCTTATGTCGGCAATTGAAGTTTTTTCAAGGTCATGTGACATGCTGAGTCAAGTTTTCCGTCCTCCCTCCTAGCTTTCCAAGCTGTGTGACTGTAACAGAGGATGTTTCCTCACTCATTTGGATGTCTACTAATTGAAACATATCTAAGGGGTCAGTTATTTGCAGTGTTCCCCAGGCCCCATATGATTGGGTGTTGCCTCACCATTCGCGTTTGCCTGGCCTTTGGAAGCTCTTGATTGTATTTCTCTTAATCCCTTGCCCTGTGTACCCAGGTCCGTGTCTCCCAAGGCAAAGAGCCTGCTCATCTGCTGAGCTTGTTCAAAGACCAACCACTCATTATTTACAAAAATGGGACATCAAAGAAAGGAGGGCAGGCACCTGCTCCCCCTACACGCCTCTTTCAAGTCCGGAGGAACCTGGCATCTATCACCAGAATTGTGGAGGTAAGGCCATGAGTTCTGTGAACATGGTCCGGTTATGCACTTCCCAGCAGACTTGACCATCGGCAATATTAGCCTCCACACAACTGGTAAGAAAATACCCTTCACTTTGTTCACAGTGTGAACAGTGGAAGCAGAGACGTTGAATGAGAAGCAAAACTCTGGGTCTAGGCATCTCACATTTGTCAATTTACTGAACTCAAACAAAGAATTTTAGGAATTTTGTACCCAGTCAAGCTGCAAAGGCAGGAGTGTTGCAACTCTCTCTTTAAAGGTCTTTGGCAGAAGGACTGTGAGGATGGTCGGGTGCCCAAGCAAATGGGGGATGTCTGAGGAGGGCATTTGTACGGGAAAACCTGGCCACATTGGAGCAATCCATCACACCACATAATCCAGTAACTATTGAAACCCAGGTCTCTCCCATCACTTTGGAACTGACCCAGGTTCTCCCAGATCTGGAGCTGTCTCCAAACCCTTCCACTTCACCCAAGCCACTCCTCTGATCTCTGAAAACTTAGTCAATCGTGCCTGCTTCTACTGCAGCATCTCTGAGCCTCCTCCAGCACCATCTTCTCTGGTTGTTCTCTGAGGACTGATTCCCACACAGCCCTCTTCAGTGGAAATTCCTCCCAGTGCCAGCTCACTAGGGCCCCTGAATGGGGATGCCTAGGGGAGTGTCCAAGCCTCTCCGATTTCTTTCTGTCATGGTCTTCTCCTTCAGCCATCCTCTGCTGTCATCTGCCAAGGCATTGGTCCTTCCCCTTTAAACTTTTTTTAAAAATATTTTATTTATTATTCTTATTTTATGTGTATGAGTGTATTCCTGCATGTATGGGTTATACAATGCCCATGGAGGTCAGAAAAGGGTGTTGGATGCCCTGAAACTGGAGTTACAGTTGGTTGTTAGCCACTATGTGGGTGCTGGGAACTGAACGTGGGCCCTGTGTAAGAGCAGCAAGTGCTCTTAACTATTGAGCCTTCTCTCCATCCCCTCTCCTTTAATTTTTAGATGGCTTCAGCCATTGTCTCTGTCACTTTCACTCTGCCTCCCCTCTTCCAACAATCTGCATTTTCCCTTGCACTCATGAGGCCCTGCACTGGGTCTGGTGTTGAAGATAAACTCCTGAGAAAATCATCTCGTTTCCGACAGCCATCTCCTGACCTTTGGCTCCTTTACCCCAAGGTGGCCATTCCAGTAATTCTCCAACCCCAGAATGGACTCCATGAGCCCTTCTCATCCTTCATGTCTTCCTCTCTCCCCAGATTTTCAGCACCCCTTCTTCTCTACTGCAGCTAATTCAGAGTTCTCAGAGAATGTCAGTGTAATCACACAGGAATTACTGTATCTACTCTCCCAAACTTTTGCTAAGTACATCTGTACATAGATACCTTTTCCTCTGATTTATGAGATGCTTTAAAAATTTCAATTTATTATTTAAAAATAATTCTTATATTAGTAATTTACATATAAGTGATGAAGTGATTTATCAATTTATAGCAATATGTTAACCATAAATTATAGTTTCATAAAGTGATTTGTCAAACTGGTTAATAAATGCTTAAATATAGAATAAAATACATCGCTCATCTCTAAGCCCCCCCCCCCCACCGCCACACTGTGCTGGATAGTTTCAATTGTCAATTTGACACACCTTGCAAGAGGGAACCTTTTTGGGAGGAATTTCTTCTATTGAACTGGCCTATGAACTGCAAGGCATTTTCTTGGTTGTCGAGTGATATGAGAGAGCTCATCCCATTGTGGGCAGTGCCACCCCTGAGCAGGTGGGCCTGGCTTGTATAAGAAAGCAGGTTGAGCACAAACCAGAGGAGCAGGCCAGTAAGCAGCATCCTCCATGGTCTGCGCTTCAGCTCCTGGCCTAAGTTCCTGTCTTGAGTTCCTACCCTGGCTTCTCTCAATGATGAACTGTCAGCTGTAAGTCAACTAAACCTTTTGTTCCCCAAGTTACTTTTGGTCAGAGCCTTTTTATCACATCATAAGAATTCAAACAGGATACACACTCCACAACCAACTTTTGGCCATAACCCTGCCCATCCCCCAGCTTTCCTGAGGACTTTCTTCACCCCTCAGCTCTCCTGAGGACTTTCTTTGATTTCTCTCCATGCATACATTCCACCCACTTCCAATTCATCCTGGCAGCAGGTGATATCTCTTTCTCACCTCTTTCACTAACCCATCCCTATATCCTGGGTCATTTACTTTGAAACCTGGAGAGCATTTAAAAACAAACTGCCTCTTGACTTTCTCCTTGACCTGCCATTTCTCTATCCTCCTATAGAGCACAAATCCTTGGAAGAGCGGTTCTCACTCGTTCACTGTCCTTTCCATTTGAAGCCTATTCTCTCTCAAGCCTGTCCACTGCCACTCTTGCTCTGAAACAAGTGTATGGAGCTTGCCAGTGAACTGCTACAAAGCCCACTCCTCTGATCTTGTTTTATTTTTTAATTTTATTTGTTATTTTTATTGTGTAGTGTATTGCCCACATGTATGTAAGTGTGCCCATGGTGTGCCATGCTCTTGGAGACCAGAAGATGGTGCCAGATCTCCTTGACTTGGAGTTACAGACGGTTGTTAGCCACCATGTGGGTACTCAGAATTGAACCCGGGTCCTCTGTGAGAGCAGCTATGTTCTTAACTGCTGAGCTGTCTCTCCAGCCCCTGATCTTGTTTTTCTTAATCTTCTACCGGCATTTGCCACAGTCACCCTGTACTAATGTCTTCTTCCAGGAGGTAGCTATTTCACTGCACTTCCCATGAGTTGTTCCAGAAGCACTAGCAGCCCTTCTAGGGGCAGTTTTGCTGGGTTTCCCTGTTTGACCTCTAAGTACTTAAGCACTCCAGGCTGAGGTGATCTTATTTAGTCACTGTTTAAATGTCAGCATTTGTATTGATTGTATCCACAACATTCTAGAATTATCATGTGATCAGTTATAACTATTTTTTAAAATCTGGGGACTGAAGAAGTGGCTCAGCAGTTAAGAACACTTGCTCTTTCAGGGCTGGAGAGATGGCTCAGTGGTTGGGAACACTGACTGCTCTTGCAGAGGACCTGGGTTTGAGTCCCAGCACCCACATGATGGTTAATGACCATGTGTAGCTCAAGTTCCAGGGGATCTGACTCCTTCTTCTGACCTCCGCGCATAACACGGGCTCATTTACACATATGCAGGCAATACACTCATACACACAAAATTAAAAAAAGAGAACACTTGCTCTTTCAAAGGTCCAGTGTTCTGTTCCCAGTATCCATGTCAGGTGACTCACAACTGTTCTAGGGGATCAGACGCTCTCTTCTGGCCTCTATGATCACCTTCATGTGTGTGCACATTCACACCCAGAGACATACATATATCCACATGAATAATAAAATAAATGTAAGTCTGTTAAATTGATAGTAAAGTTTTTCTCTGTGAATATGCATTTGATTTTATAAGGAAGAATCAACCAGAATGTTCCATTGTTAACTCCTGGGCTCTTCTACAGTGGGCATTCTATTTATTTATTTTAAAAAAAATTCTATTTATATTTTAAATTTATTTATTTTTATTATTTAAATATAAAAATTTATTTACACGTACTCAATTCTTTTTTAACAATGTATTTTTATTGAATTTTTGTGCATTTTATACAACACATCCTAATTATATTTAGACCTCTCTCCTATCTGCATCTGCTCCAGAGCCCCCCACTGAATTTCATGCATTCTGTCATATATGTTAAGGCCTATGGAGTCAAGTTTGTGTCCCTGGATGCCCCTCTGTGTGAGTTCATCCACTGGAGCCTGGAAAACTATCTAGCGTCACTCCCTTAAAGATCAACACTCCTTTATCCAGCAGTGATTGGCTGCCAATAGTTCCCCAACTAATACTGGCATTTGTTATGAGACATCATCAGCTGAAGTCAGTGTTTTGCCCCATCTCCCTGCAGCCTCTCAAGCCATCCTCTCTCCTGCTCTGACACATCAGTCCTGATCATTTTACAAGGCTTTGTCTTCATCTCCTGGAGAGCTAATGCTTTCTAAACCTAAGGTTGTTCTTCCCTAATCTCACACTAACCTGGCCACTGACCTGTTTGTTACCTTTTCTCCATACTCCTGGATCCTTCTTCTGTATCAAAAAGGAGATATATGGATTGGAACTCTGAAGTCCTCAAGTCCAGACCTGCTGCTGGGAGCATTTTCTATTACCCCATCCGACGATTTCCTTGAACTTGGCCCGGGAGGCCTCATGCCTGCTGGGAAAGGATAGTCACAGTTCTCCCAGACTACCAACCCCCGGGGCTTATTTCTGAAACTCCAGAAATCATACCTTTTTCCTCTAGTATTTTCTATGGGGACAAGGCCCTGACAAACTGGAAAAATTCATCTCTCCATGTAGCAGTTGCCTTGATCCAGACAGTTCAGGGTGGTGGGCCAAGTAGCATTGTTCTGCACAGTGGATCACCTGTCTCCTTTTATGTTTGTTTGCTTGTTTGTTTTTGATGCAGGGTCTCCCTGTAGCCCCAGCTGGCCTGGAACTTGCTGTGTAGACCAGGCTGGCCTTGATCTCACAGAAATCTAGCTGCCTCTGCCTTTTAAGTCCTGGGATTAAAGGCGTGCACTACCATACCAGGCTGCACCCTTCTTCTCGGCACCTTCTCTCCGCATGGTCTTATGCAGGCCACACTCCTGTTTTCTTTGTCTCCTCAGTTGCTCTATCTCAGTCTGGCTTATGACTTCTTCCTGGTTTCCCTGGAATCCCACATCACACTCAGCTCCACAGTTATGCAGAAAGTCATGCACAGCTCCAGCTGTGTGTCCAGACTGGTTCTCACAGAGGCTGCCATTGGTATCACCAAACCACAGAGTCCTAGGGCCAAGCTCCATCCTAGGGTGTTCACAGTCATGGCCAGTCCTGAGACGGCTTGTGCCTTGTCCCTGCCCAAGCTTCTTCCATTGACCTCTGTGGACACAGGATCCAGAACTGCACTCAGGTAGCAGACCACAGGCAGAATCTACAGCTTCTAGTTACAAGGAAGGAGTGTACCAGGGCTGGTATTCTTCCCCATACACAGTTTTTAAAATCCGAGTTATCACTTATCTGTGTGTGAAAACAGCTTTTGTGAATCTGTAGTTATCTCTGTCCCTCAGTTGGACTCCAGTGTCTATTTTATGTTTTTAAAAATATTTTATTTATTTATTTATTTATATGTGTATGCATGTATTGCCTGCATGTAGGTAAGTGCCTCCATGTTGTGCAATGCCCAGGGAGGACAGAAGAGATTGTCAAGATACCCTGGAACTGGAGTTATAGACGTCTTAACCTCTGAGCCATCTCTCCAGACCTACTTTATGCTTTTTACATGCCCTTTGATTTTTCAACAAATGTTCTCTTTAGTGAAGGAAGAAAATTGGACATCTTTGCTTTATGTTTTCATTTGCATAAATTCTGAAAATTTTCTTTTTTTTAGGTGGGTTTTGCTGTGTAGTCAGGGCAGCTTCTTCGTGATCCTCTGCTTTAGCCCCCCCCCCCCCCGCGGCGGGGGGGGAGAGGAAAAAAAAGTGCTGGGATGATAGGTGTGAGCCACCATATCTGGCCAAACCCTTGACTATTGATTGGTGACATTGTTGGAGCTTTGTCCTACTGTCTGAGGGCAGTGGACCTGACATGGACCAGGGTGTTTACTCCAGTGATTCAAGCCTTGTATTTTCCCTCGTGCTCTAGGTTGATGTTGATGCAAATTCATTGAACTCCAATGATGCTTTTGTCCTGAAGCTGAGGCAAAACACTGGCTTCATCTGGATAGGGAAAGGTGCTAGCCAGGAGGAGGAAAAGGGAGCAGAGTATGTGGCTGACATCCTCAAATGCAAAACTGCAAGAATTCAGGAAGGTGCAGAACCAGGTGTGTGCTGTGGGGTCAAGATCACCATGGTCACAGTCAGTGTGCTTGAAAATCGACTTTGCTCAATAAAAAAATCATTTTCATCATTAGAGGGGGATAAGGATGCCACCATTAATTGTAAAAGTGTTGATTGCAGCTGTTCTATTTAAATTACTTCTTCCTTTGATTATTATTATTTGAGACAGGGTCTTACCATGTAGCCCTGACTGACCTGGAACTCCCTATATAGACCAAGGCTGGCCTCAAACTCAAAGAGGTCCTCCTTCCTCTGCTTCCCAAGTACTGGGATTAAAGGGTGCACCACCACTCCTAGCTTTAAGAAACTTCTTAATGTTAAAATTCAGAGAGGTAATATTGCCACTAATGTAAAATACTTCCAAACACACGTGCCTGAATATACATTGACTAACTCACCGTGTGTTCCACAGAGGAGTTCTGGAACTCCCTCGGAGGGAGTGGAGATTACCAGACTTCACCACTGCTAGAAACGCAGGCCGAAGATCATCCACCTAGGCTTTACGGCTGCTCCAACAAAACTGGAAAATTCATTGTAAGTGTCTTACATAGACATTTAGGAGGCATTCCATGCTGGCTCTGACACTTTACAGATTCCTAACAGCTGTGAGTTCTAGATTCCCCGCAAACTGTCCATGATAATCTTAACTCTGAACAGGGAAGTTTAAGAACAGATGATGTCATGGATGCAGAAACATCTAGAAAACTGTAAAGTAATATATAAATCAAGGTGCCCTTAAAAATAGCTACTTTATATCTGTATCAGCATTTAGTGTTGCTGTATGAACCGTGTATGGTTGGTTTTTCTAATTTAATAATTAATACTTCCTTGGTGAGCAATAATATCTAAGTGTAAATTTTACACTTTGTTTCACAGAGGAATAAAACTTTATCTATATTGACTGAATGAAAACAGCACATTAAGGAGTATTAAAATCATTGGACAAAATTACAGTGTTACATGCGTAAATTAACTGACATTGACAGGAATGCTTTATTTTATAGTCTTGTAATTCAGGAAATTAAAAGCAAAATTAGCAGACAGTATAAATGTCTTGCTCAAGTTGTAACAAAAACATAGCAGATTGGGCTGTTTATACAGTAAGCATAGCTTCTCACTCTTCTGGAGTTGGAGGGGTCTAAGATGAAGGCACATGAAGATCTACGTCTGGAAAGACCCTTCCTCCACTCCTGTGTCTTCACATGGCTCAATGACCCGAGTCTCAGTCTCTTCTGAAGACACTGCTCTTATCACTGGGTTCCATCTTCATGACCTCAACTAACCCTACTTACCTCCTTACAGCTCCCACCTTCTAATATGGTTCCATCGGAGGTTATGACTTCAATCTATGAATTTTGGGGGAATATGCAGTCTATAACAGTACAAGATTTTATACTGAACTCTAAAACTTCATCCTGGGCAACAGCTGCTAACCTCAATTTAATTAGAACACTTTGACCATCGTTGACATGCTAGACTTCTGTGTAAACAGAAAAGAGGGAAGAGTCTTTTCTCATTGGCAAATTCATTCAACACAGTGTATACAAACTTCATTTTCAACACAAAAGAAAATTTCCTGAGCACTCACTAGATATATTCATTATCAGAAATAAAATGATGAAGGAATTATGTGCAAAGTATACTTGAAGTTTTTAAGTGATTTAGCCTAAGAATTAAAGATGTAATAGTGGACAGTACAGGCTGGAGAGATGGCTCAGCAGTTGAGAACACTGGTTGCTCTTGGTAAAGATCTGGGTTTGAATCCCAGCACTCACATGCTGGCTGCACTCCAATTCCAGGGGATCTGACACCCTCTTCTGACCTCAGCAGGCACTGCATGATACAGGTGTACTTACACACATGCAGGCATAACACTCATGCACATAAAAAAATGAAATAAATAAATAAAAAATTTAAAAAAGATGTAATAGTGGATAGTGATAAATATTCATTGTTGGAACCACAGTTTGCCACATACTTTGTCAAAAATTCTTGTACTTGCTGTACTTTATAAGTTTATTATCCATAAAGTCTATTTATAATTTTGACTATTAGTAAGATATTGCATTGTGTCCAAACAATCTTCTTTTTTGGAATAAAGTTGTACACGCATATGTAATTTGTTACCAATTTTACTTGCTAATATTGCTATAAAACTGCTGTAAATTAGCCTCTTAGGAAGATGTATTTACAAAAAACAAGTACTCAGGCTTTGCTCTCAGTTGGAATTTAAAAACAATCTATTTTTTGGTGTGGTGGTGCACGTCTTTAATTTCAGCACTTGGGAGGCAGAGGCAGGTTGAGTTCCAGGACAGTTGGGGCTACAGGGAGACTCTGACTCAAAAAAAAAAAAAAAAAAAAGACCAAAAAAAAAATAAATAAAAACAATCTGTTGATCTTTGATCTTTGATGGTCATGCTTATGTAGCCTTTGTCAAAAATATACATTCCCTCTGTGTCTACTCATTTTCTTATTTGATATCTGGGCTCCTTTCACAGTATAAGGAAAAGGATTATTATTGATCTTAAAATCAGCAAGTAGATTTTAAACATGAAGACTACAAAGCAGCAGAGCTGATGGGTTCAAAGCACAGCTCTCAGAGCTGTTCTGCCTCTGTGCTATCACATACCTGGTGATACCACACGCTGGCTATGTGACTCCAGGCACCTTCCTTACACTCTCTGTTCTGTAGTTCTTTCATTTGTTAAATATGTAAAACCTCAGTGTCTACTTCACATGATTGTTGTATTAAATTAATGATTGTATATAAATGATTAGAGCAATAAACAGCAGAGAGGAAGTGATACTTAAAGTTTTTTTTTTTTTAAAAAACCATTCTATGATTGGTAAATATTCTGTAAGAAGACAATCAGGGACTGGATCAGTGGCTAAGAGCGCATAGTACTCTTGCAGAAGATCTGAGTTTATTTCCCAGCTCACAACCACCTATAACAACTCCAGGGGGCCAGAGACACTCTCTTCTGGCCTTCACAGGCTATGTGCATGCACACACACACACACACACACACACACACACAATTAAAAATAAAATAAACCTTTAGAAAACAAGACAAACCAATTTGTTCCTTTCTGAACATGATCAAGTGTTTTATGGTTTATTTTTGCTTTTGTCTGTTTGTTTAAGGATCTCAGAATCTCCTCAGAGTATAGCAAACACGTTAGAAGTCACGGCTACCTGGGGCAAGCTTGCTGCAGTCTGTGATCTGCCCGGAGGTTCTGCTCTGTACGAAGGTGGAACTTGTGCCCATTTTTTCAGTGACAGAGTAAAGAGCATTGGATGGCCCCATGCTCAGTCGCATTTACTAATATAGCATGACAGATGCTAAGGTCAGCTCTACCTGCTTGACTGCACTGAAGTCACAAGGCAGAGGGAGGGTGCAAGGAATTGAAGATCAAAGTCCAGTCTGTCAAACCTTCCCAAGAATCAGAGGAGCATTTCAGAAATCTTTAAAATCATTGAACTTTAGATAGATACATGCCTACTAGTATTTGTGTTATACTAACCCTCCCCATTAGTGGTGGCTATAGAGAACAAAATTTAACCTATTAGAAACAAAAACAATGAAATTTTGCGTATACAGTAGTTGTGCCATTTTATGAATATTATTGATTTATTAAAATGACCAGACCTATTTACTTTTACTAAAATAATATTGATTTACAAAAGAAAGATTTCATACCCAGACCATAATATCAAATGTCTTTAGAAAATAGGCAGCAAAATCTGTGAAGCCATTGTCACAGGAACTGTAAGTACAGAAGGCTGTGTTCAATTGACTGCCGTGTCCTCCCTAAAGGCATTCAGATGCTGTTTATATTAAATACTGTCCTGGTCAAACTCTATCATCTATCTCTGATACTTGATTACATAGATGAGTTTGTTACTCCAAACCAAGAAAAAATGACCAACAAAGATTTCATTGTTATCCAAAATAGTAGAAGTCATTTGTCTCTTATGTATAAGAAATTTTCTTGCTGTCCTGTCTGATCATAAAGTCCTTCAAACATTTCAGATTGAAGAGGTTCCAGGGGAATTCACCCAGGATGACTTAGCAGAGGATGACGTCATGCTACTTGATGCGTGGGAACAGGTAGAAGACATATTTTGCTCATAGCAAGAAAATGTCCTTATCGTTGGGAACTGATAAACTTGCGTTAAGAAATAGTAATTCTAATAATAAATGGGCCTGGGGACTAAGCTGTACTCAAGAGACATTTCACATATTTTGACAAAAAATAAAACTGTTGTGTAGGGCAAGTTGATTTCTTACTGTGAAAGTAATTCCACAGCTTCTACCTTTGGCTTTATAGTTTTATGCAAAGAAAATTTTAACTTTTAAAAAAGTTCCTTTATAAATTGAACTCACTCTTAATTTATTCATATACTCATTATATTAATAAGTACATGAATATATACAACACTGTGAGAGAGACCAAAATATTGAGAATTCCCTTGAATTTTGACCAAAGTTCCTAGGGAACCCATCCTGGAGGAAAGAACCAGACACAGAATATGACTGTTTTATGTATCTTAATTTAGGAGAAAATTGGTGGTGACTTGACGTCCCACATCTGATGATCTTTTAAATTTTCTGTGTAAATTAATAACTGTGAAAGGGACAAACAAATATGTTGGGAATTAAACTCTATAGAACAAGTGTGGAACACTTACCTGAATTAGGCCTAGTCTTAAAATTGGCCAGAGAACTTGTTTTCAGGTCTGTTTCTAATGGCTAAACCACTTGGTTAAATCACATCTCAGCCTCTGGTCTTCAAGTATTGTATCTGAATTGGGGATCCAGTCCTAGATTTTCCCCATACTGTATTTCGTTTATTTATAAATTATCTCTTTTATCCAAGGTACCATGCAGTCATAGTGTCTTCTGTGCCCTGTGCACCAGTATCCCAATACTTTGTGTGTGAATTAAGAACACAACCAAAACTTAATTTGCTAACAAATGATTATAAAGTGACTTAAGTACAAAATAATTAGAAGAATACTTTAGCATTAAAATACTCAACCCACACATTTGACAAAGTAAAGGATACATACTGATTACATATATGCATATTTGTATATTATATGAATTATATGGGTGAGCTTTTTTAATTTAAAAAAGTTTTAACTTTTGATATTTAATAAAGCACTGTATTAGTTACTTTTCTGTTGTTATAATCAAACACCATGACCAAAGCAACTTATAGAGGAAGAATTTATTTGGCTTATGGGGCACAGCTGCTGAGGCAGGGGAGCAAAAAGCTGAGCACTCACATCTGCAAGCAGGCAAAGGAAGTGGGAGTGTGAAACTGGAAAATGGGGCAAGGCTATGAACTCTCAAACCCCACTCACAGGGATGTGCTTCCTCTGGTAAGGCCACACCTCCTAAACCACTGCAAACAGCCCCACCAACTGGGCCAAGCATTCAAATACTTGGCGCTAGTAGGGGGGCCTCATTCAAACCACCACAAGCACTTTACCGAAGTTATATATGGCACCACACCACAAGAGAGCAGTAGACTGAAGCTGGAGATTCCTACAGGAAAGCCAGGGCCCTCCAGAAGCAAGCCCCATGTCTGGACGCAATCCTTCTGTGTTTAGATCCACAGCTGGGAAATGGAGATATGACTGCCCCAGAGGCCCCGCAGATGGATGCAAAAAATGCCAAGAATCTGTTGATTTGTGAACGCAATCTCACTTCATAAACCAGAATGCTTCATGCAAAACGCTAGAGCTTGAACTGTAGTTGGAGTGACTGGCTGTAAATGCAGGAGTCTCCCTGTGAGAGTGAGCCTTGGGAAAGGAACAGGGCTTCTGTGGGCGGGCGCTACCTTCGCCTCACTGCTGTCTGGGGTTGTTGTGGGCATGTAAGTGAAGCCCTTGCCTTCATGCTGAGTGCGAAGTCAGCACTTCCCAAACTTACAGGTATTATTGTTCCACTTTCTAGATATTTATTTGGATTGGCAAAGATGCCAATGAAGTTGAGAAAAGAGAATCGCTAAAGTCTGGTAAGCTCTCTAGGGACAGTTATGGCAGTAAGCCAGCATGATGACTGCAGGGGGCCTGGCTGCTCTTATCTCATCTTCCAAAAATACACATCAAAACCAAGAAGCAGCTTAGCTGCCTTCATCAGAACTCAAGAGCAATGGTGTCTTTTAAAACTAAAGACTTTCATAATAGAGACAAAAATGTTTTGTAACCTAATTTAGACTATTATGTCTGAAAAATTTAAATTCATGTAAATGTTTGTTTTATTATGTTAATAGTAAAACCTCCATAATCATGATAGCCTAGAATTTTTCAATCTTCTTTTTGGAAATGATGCCTCTTTAGCAGTTTTCTTTTTATTAAACAGTATCAAAATAATTGTTATAAACAGCATTCCATAAAGCTTGGAATTCTTTAGGACAATAAAACTTTGTAACTGTGTGTTTCATGGCAGATGAGAGAAATGAATGGAAACCATTCCTATTGGCTAGGTGGGGGGCAAGAAGAATTTAATTCTTTATTCTATTGTAAGAATTTTCATTGTATACGTCAGTTTAACTGAAGCTAACTGAACTTATGTCTTTGCAACTCTTTTAGCCAAAACTTACCTTGAGACAGACCCTTCTGGAAGAGATAAGAGGACACCAATTGTCATCATAAAACAGGGCCATGAACCGCCCACATTCACTGGCTGGTTCCTGGCCTGGGATTCCAGCAGGTGGTAAACTGAGTTTCATAAAATCCCTGCAAATATTTGGTCTCATTGGGGGTAGCTGCCTCATTTTGCTGTTGGGGATTTGTTTACTTTTTGTTTGCTTGACTTTAGAAAATTAGCTTTAGCCAAATGGCTATTGTTTAAATGCCTAGTATGGGCCTGAAATTATTTTTTAAAAGAAATTGTCTTATGCTACTAAGAAATTGTCTTATGCTACTATATTAAATAACCTGAAGCAAACTTTTGTTTCAGATCAATATTAGCGGCCCTGGAAAGGGACTAACACCTTTTTTATATAAAGTAAAAGACTGCTATCTAGGGGTGTTTTTGAGGAAGAGAATTTTATAATTCAGGAACCATTAGCCAAACTTGTTTTTTATGTGCTGGAGAAGAAAGTTGTAACACTTTTAAGATTCTTCTCTTTTCTGGGCATTTTCTTAAAAAGAAATGTATGTTTGCAGTAAAGTTTATGTTAAGGTAGCTCTAACAATGTCTTACTGTTCTCCTTTGCAAGTCACTGTGACTCTGATACCATTTACTCCCAAGTGTCAATTTCAAAGAGGACTGTCTTTAGTCTTTGAAATCACAGCTCTTTCATGATAAAGCAAATTGTATTCTTACCAGTTTAACTTTATATATTTGACAAGACATGCTTAATATCACAAAATATATGTATGAAAAGCTGGTTTTATCATTAAAATACATCTCTTTTTGAAAATGTTTTGTGTTGTGACACTTTATTCAAATTTGGTGAGTTAATGACTTTATTGATTTTATGGCTAAATACTTTCATGTTTAAGTAGATAATGAATGAAATATTTCTTAAATTCTTTTCATTCAGTAACAAAACAACTTTCCTGTGGTTATTATAACAGATTTTAAGCATCACAGAGTATGTATGAAACAAGGTCTGTAGACACCAGAAGTTGGGGAAAGATCTAGAAATCCAGGTAACACTGAGGCAGTCTTTGGCAGTGAAGTATTGGGTTTAGGGTAGTTGAAGGAGGAGGTCTGGTTGGGCAGATGATTTTTTTTTTTTTAATTTTTTGGTCTTTTTTGAGACAGGGTCTCCCTGTAGCCCCAGCTGGCCTGGAAGTATGTAAAACAGGCTGGCCTTGAACTCACAGAGATCCACCTGCCTCTGCCTCCCAATTGCTGGGACTAAAGGCTTGCACCACCACACCCAACAAATGATGTATTTTTATTTTATTATTTTGTTGTATGTGAGTGTTGTACTGGAAAGCTTTAGTTGTCAACTTGACATACCTGGGTTGAAGGAGCCTCAATTGAGGAATTTCCTCCATTGAACTGACCTGTGGGCATGTCTGTGGGGGCATTTTCTTGATTGTTGAGTGATGTGGGAAGGCCCAGCCCACTGTGGATGGTGCCACCCCTGGGCAGGTGGTCGTGTATTGTATCAGAAAACAGGCTGAGCATGGGCCAGGGAGCATGCCAGTAAGCAGCGTTCCTCTATGGGCTATGCTCCAGGTTCTTGCCTCCAGGTTCCTGTCTTGGGTTCCCTCAGTGATGAACTGTGACCTGGAATATGTAAGCCAAATAAACCCTTTCCTCCCCAAGTTGGTATTGGTAAGAATGTTTTGTCACAGCAATTGAAGGTACACTAGAACAAGTGTTTTGCCTGCATGTATTTTAAGTGCACCCATGCCATGCAATGACTGTGGAAGTCAGAAGAGGTTGTTGTATCCCCTGGAACAGAAGTTACAGATAGTTGTGAGCTGCTGTATGGGTGCTAAGAAACTAACCAGACCCAGGTCCTCTACAAGAGCAGTAGTGCTCTTAACCTCTGAGCCACCTCTCCAGCCCCAGGGAGACGATATTTATTTATTTATTTTGCTTTTGAAAAAAAAATTTTAATGAGCTGTTATACCTACTTAATTTTTTTAACTTTAGAAAAATTTATTGAGGAATTTTATACATGCGTATAAGGTGTTTTGATCAAATCCATGCCCAACTCCCTCTCCTCCAGCTCCTCCCATATCTCCCCATCACTTTTTTCTGACTTCGTGTACTCTTTCTTTCTTTCTTTCTTTCTTTCTTTCTTTCTTTCTT